GAGGAGCTGTAAGCTCTAAGAAAATGTCAGCAGGGAGAAAAGTGCACAAGTTTCAGTAGCAGAGGGAGACATTAATCCTAACGCAAATCAATTACTGTACAGACTTTACATGTGATTACTCTACCATTAGTGGTGCTATTTGTAATCACACCCGCGTCCTAGACTTTAGCAAATATATTATCTGTAATGCATCCCCCTTTGGACCTTTCTAACCCTATTTGAGGCAATACTCAGGACAGTTCCTCAGAGCAGCCGCCTCAGAGAGCCTCCTGACTGTCCCTGAACCAGCTCAGAGCACGTTGGGAAAAGAGAGGTCCTAATGGCATCATAGCTTCGTATTGCCACCACTTTGTGACTGCAGCCAAGAAAAAGAAGAGAGGCTCTAGTTTCTCACTTCCACGTCCTCCTTTGAAAACCAAGATGCTTATTTTTCATAATTTAAAATGCTGCCTAACTCTGGGAGCATTAGAATTCCTAGACTATGACTGAGTATTAGTGTGCGTCTGCTTTAAATGTCAAGAGAGTCTTTAATAATACCATGTAAGGAATGTTAAGATGGTGACAGACTACAATAAAAGTAGGGAAATTCTTCAGTTGGGGTGAAATGAGCCATATATTGCCTACCACCTGAATGCTGTCGTTGGTGGGGAAAAAAATCGTTTAAAAGTTTTCACTGTTGCCGAGTTCTGAAACCAAAGTTTGATAAAATGGGTCAAAAATAATTGTTTGGTAAATGCTCAGTCTGGTTGAAGAATCTGAATTCTTCCACTCACTGCTTCCCCCCCCCCCTTTTTTTTCTTCTTTTGATTGTATGTTCTTTGGAGAACCTGTGTAGCTGGATATAACCTGCCTAAGTCAAGTTAATGTGTTTGGATCATCATTGTGCACAAAACTCCTGAGGAAACCTATACGGCCAATGTTGAAGGCATGCTCAATCTATGGCAGAGAGTAGTATCTCCCAAAGTTAGCTGATGAATTTGGACACTTGGGCTCCTTATTAAAAATACCTACTTCCAGGTCCCTTGCTTGGAGTGTTGGGCAAGACCCCAGCCGGTTAAATTGGAGATCATCCTTGCATGGGAGCAATGCACACGTGCCAGGTTCTGCCTCCTTATTTCAGCGTGGGGCGGGGAGAGCGACAAAGATCTGCAGTTTTAGTTTTTGTCCCAGGTGATTCTCATGATCACACCAGTGTGGGAACATCAGACCCAGCACCGTATAACCAGAATTCCAGTCTTATTTCTGCCCCTTCCCAGCTCCCTGACCTCAGATATCAGACACATTTACCCTGGCAGCCTCAGTTTCCTCACCTAGAATACTAGAATAGGACTAGAGGACTTGAAGTAGCCACAGAAACCCTTTGCCTCTGTGAAATCAGATGCGTGGCTCGGTCCCTTCTTCTGTGTCCTCCATCATGCCAGCATGCTTACACACACAAAACCCTGCATTGATTTCAGCAGAGTTTTGTTTCTCATGAGTGAGAACCGCCCAATTGGCCTTAAAATGATTAGTCCTCCTGACAACATAGAAAATGATGATGTTAAATGAAGCCCAAACCACGTTTTTCTCTGCTAAAAGAACGAGTTTAATCTCTTTAGTTTCTATCTTCAAAGATTTTGAATGGAGTTGCTAGCCTTTGGCAGTTACCAGTGGGTCTGGAGCAATACACAAATTCTGATCTTTTGCAGCTTGGACTATCTGAAACCTAATTTGAGGCCATGGGTAATGGAAGAGGGGATGACCTATATCAGCCAAAGGGAGGGAACACATTTTCCAGGATGAGGGGAAGATATAGTAAGAACAGAAGACATAAATCTATAAGAAGCAGGCTCCATCTTTCCTATCTTTACGTTCCATTCTTTAAAAGCTCAAAATGATTTCTCTTTCCAGTTAGCCGAACTGCAAACTCCATTGAACCCCTGTTACGTGGATCCTGATTCCAAACATATACTCAGCCAGTAGAAATCTAGATAGACTAGACTGGTTTCACTTTCATTTAAAAAAAAAAAATTAGCAATTTTTTGAGCATTCATGAAGCACTAGTGATTTTTGCTAAGCTTGTTATGTACAAGAGCTCACCTCATCTGCAGAACAACCCCTCAGAGTTCAGAGATGATTATTCCATATTTAGAAGGAGAAACTAGATACTTTAAAGGGGTTATATAATGTGCACAGACTCCCCAAGCTAGAATTTGAACACAGCACAGTGTGATTGCTGTGCCCACCTCCTTAACCATTTTCACTTTGCCATCGCTCTACAGAGTTGGCGAACAAACTCGGTAATTAAAACACCCCCTGCACAAGCAAGCCCCCTCTGACGTGTAGCCCATCGTCGTCCCTTTGATGCCAGAGACTCATTCCGTACCCACGAGGAAGGTTTTTAGAAAGTAATTCTCTTTTGATACACACATAAAAAAATTTTAAAAGTTGCCAACCCAATCTTTAGTTGACCTTTGGACTGAATTTCTCAACCCCCTTTTCTTTGCTTTTTCACGAGATTCATAGTTTAAGAGGGAATGCCGGAATATGTTTGCTAACATTAAATGTTTGTGTTCTTATATTTTAGTAATGAAAGGATGCCATGAAAGTTGATGGGGATGGTGAGCTCATGGGATGATGGCATAAAAAGTAATAAAGGATGTGAAAGCTTTTCGAAGGACCAGCTAGTATTTTAAATGCAAGACAGCCATTGTAGAGAGGGGATGTGGTTTCAATAGGTATGAATGTTTATAGCCTTTTTCCCTAAAAAAAAAAAAAAAACAAACTGAAAAAGTTAATCTGGCAGGTTTCTTTCTTTAATGGTTAAAACAGTTTGCGTTAGAGCTATGCTTGATCAAAAGACTAAAACTCATCTAGGAATATGATATTACACGTTAGTTTGCACTAACCAAACAAAAAGTTGGATTTTTGCCTTTTCGTGTAACCTTGCCCATCTTTTAGAAAAGCAGAACTAGGGTGGTAGAATTGAGGTTCTTAGATAATTCTCAAAATGGATGATGAATTCTAAGCAGTGTTCTCAAGGAAAAATAAGAAAATGTTCCCTATGACAGTTATGTTCAGGGTTATAGATATGCCTGTGCATACAAATTCTAGGTATGTGTTTGCAACATAGCGTTACCACCTTTGACTAGTAAAAGGTCAGCCTGACAGACCTTTGGGTGGAATATGGACAAGATGATTCCTTTCGATGCTAAGGGTTTGGATTTTCCTTTTACCAAACTTAGAAATTTGTCATTGTCTTTGTAATTGGTACATCAACAATGTTTACCCCCAAATTAAGTCACAGTTAATATTCAGCAGACTCTTCAGTAAACACCACCTCTCACCCTTTAATTTGTATTTTTCAGCATGGCAGACTACTACTTGTTTTTAAAAGCATGCCTGAATTTCTTCTGCCACGTGATAACTTCGAAACACAACATTTTTCAAAATCTGAGAATATTTTAGTTTTGACACCAAAAAACTTAAGGCACATAAAAAACAAATAACTGTAGAAAAATGCCATTCCCAACAATTTAATTGTTCTGAGCCACTTGGGAAAACTACATTCCTTTAGCATTATGTGTTCAGAAAACCTTTGAGTTTGGCTGTTCAATAACTTACTGAAGAATGGAGGATGGATAACATAAAGTGGCTCCTAATATGGTATCATTTTCATTTCCTGTTTGTTGAAAGATAAATGCTAACACTGTAAGCCTTTTTTTTTTCTTTCTTAATTTATTCTTCCCCGAACCACAAGGGAATAAAAAGAGGAAAAAAAAATCAAATGTGATATGGCTTGAGCCTGAGTCAACCAGTTAGGATAAGCTGAAAGTTTTTTCTCTTCTTCCTTCGTACCCTTTCCCTTCTCTCTGTCTTCCCCCAATTCCTGAAACACCCCCGCCATCCACACACACACATTAGAAAATAACTTTGCTTAAAAGGTGAAGCATATTTGATTTTTATTTTGGAATAATTTTAGACCTACAAAAAAATAATGGATTTTTAAAGCATTTCAGGCTACTTAGGTGACAGAAGGAAGTCCCTCCCCAATTCTAAGGTAGTGTTTTGGACAAATGGTCTATAAAAAATATTGAAATAAAACTGTATGTATTCTCTCTCTCTCTCTCCCTCTCTTCCTTTCTCTCATTAATCTCTTCTACATTATTTTACCTAAACGCCACGCCTGTTCTCTTAACTTTATCTTTAGGGGATATATTTCCCACTTGTTTTACAGACGTAATCATTATACGTCCCCTATGCCCCCCTGTCTTGAACTATTGAAAATATCGTCATGTTAAAGCAATCCAAGGCAAACATAAAGTAGCTTCAATACGTAGTATTTGAGTGCCTACTACGTATATCCAATTAGAAACTCCTGTGACTTTGGAAGATAATTTTTTATAGAATAAGGAGACTTAAATTAAGACGAGGCCAGCACATAGCAGGTACTCAAATATTGAATAAATGAATGAGTAAGCTCATTCTGTGCTCATTTCAAAATGGAGAGCTGTCAGCCGTCGTAGCCTGCTCCTGCCCTGCTAATATCACTTGCCAGCACTGTCTTAATCTATGCCTACCTGTTAAGAAAGATGAAGCTAATTTTGCATAAATTTATCCATCTGGCTAGGAGTTTTTCCACAACCACAACAGATGAATTTATGAGTTTTAGCTACCTAGCTCATTTCCCTTTGGCTTCCTCATGAATAAGGTTGGTTAATAGGCATGATTCACATTTGTCTTTTAGCTATCTGTGTTCCATGGGACTCCTTGGTGCCAGCAGGTCTAGAACTTCCCAGTTAAAGTCTAATGCATCTTGTGTTGAGAAATCTCACACTGCTACCTCCAATGACTTGGAGTTTGGCAGTGGTCATATAGATTTCAAAAAGGATTAAGCAATGAAAATGATTTTGTCATGTGCTATGGTGCCATAGTTTAATTTGGGATATGTATCATTTCTGGTATTAAAAGAGTCATGCATCTTTATTCAGAGAAATAACAAAGCATTTTCTTCCTGCTAGCTTGCAAAAGACAAAGAGCGCCTGCAAGCCATGATGACCCATCTGCATGTGAAGTCTACAGAACCCAAAGCTGCCCCTCAGCCCGTAAGTACTGATCCCACACCAAGGGGCAAAAACAAAACAATTTACAGTAGTCTTTTCCTGCTTCCTCACCCCACGCGTAGGAAGGAGGATGATCTATTACGGCAGATTTGGATGTCAAAGGCCTTGCCATCGTTGACTATTTCCAGTTACCCGTTATTATGGAGGTACCATGCTAGGCATTAGGGGAGATGCAGGATGGTTCCAACATGGTGCCTGGCCCATGAGGCCCAAGCAAGCGGCTCTTCTTTGGGACAAAATGATTGGTGCTAAACCAAGGTGCTAAGATACATTATGAGAGCTCACTGGGAAAAGAAAATCCTGCTGAATGGCAGGAAGGCAGAGAAGGCAGTTAAACCATGATGGTAGAAGACAGAGGTGTTTCAGCTTGGGTAGGCTGAGAGAACATGGTGTGTGAGAAAAGGAGCAAGAAATAGTCTAGTCTATCGGTAACGGAGGAAAGAAATGGGAGACACGTTGTGTCGGAGTAGTTAGAGTCTGAATTATGGGGAGCATCTAATGATTATGAAGAATTTTGAAGAGAAAATCACTCTTTCACAGTTAGGAGACCAAACATGGTACACTGAAATTACATTTGATTTTTAGGAATCTCCTATTTCTTGCCTTGTTCCCTTTTACTGGACCTTGAAGGGTGTCATCCCAGCACAGACAGTTAATATCAAAGCAGAAAGATGGTATCTAAACCCAAAACCCTGTCTTGGACCTCCTCCCTTGTAACAAATTGATCTCTTTAACAGTCATATTTCTCATATACTTATATTTCTAAAATTCTCTTAGTAGCTTTAACTGATTATTCAAAATGGAGACAGTGCTTTGCTTCTTGATTTTAAGATTTGTAAAATTTAAAGGTACACTGCCTTTATTTGATTTTGCTTGGAGTCACTGTGTGAAAATTAATTGAGCGTTGACAATCTATAGTTAGTACCAGCAATTTTAATCAATATGCAATGATGCAGCATAATGGCAAAGTATTGGTTTATCTGTTTTGACTGATTTTTTTCTATAAATAAAGCAAACATACACCCATATATGTATGATTTATGGTGATAGAAATAAAACGGAGTCAGACTATTAACCCAGCAAATATGGTAGCCTGCCAAGATGCAGTTGGCAGACAAAATTAATGTCTGAAACAGAACACATTACTGAGATATAGGACATAAAATCATTAAACACTTCGTGCATCCATTTTTACTAGGAGAGAGTCCTTAGTTTCCATGTATTTTACAGTAAATGGCTGTAGGACTGGATGTGTAGGCTACCAAAAAGAAAGAAAAAAAAGAACCAGGCTGTTCAAAATTGTGAAATCAGTAGTCAACTGTGCTATTTGTAGCAGCCCTCCTTTTAAGGAGGATACTGGGAATAGTGTGAACTCACCTAAGTAAAATTGGTGAGACCCTGAAATGACTTGGCTGATTTCTCGAATAGGCATCATTGCGCAGGGCACTAAGATTGCCTTGGAACTTTTTGAAAGTCTTCAAATGGCTTTAGTGAAATGGTTTTCCCAGAAGGAAGGGTTTGAGTCTTTTCACCTAACAACAAGGGAGAAAATGGGTTTCTCTTCTTCTTCCTCCTCCATGGATTAAAAACAATGACAGAATAATGGTTGGACCCAGCACTCTAGGAATGGACTTGTTTTGGCTCACAGGGCTCCTTGGGAACAGGAGGGATACAATGAAAGAGAAGGAACTACAAAATTCTGTAGGGCACCGGGCAAGTGACTGTTGGGTGTTGGCAGGGAGCGCCATATATGTAAGCCCACACGGGCCAGAAAAGGACTATTGGGAATCTCCACGTGGACCCATGTTAAGCAGCCAGTAAACAGGGAAAAGCAGTCCTGGGGGGAAATGAACAGGGAAGGAAGGTTTGTCTTGATTAGTATTAAAAAAAAAATGTTTTACATTCTAGAAAATTATAACTTTGAAGGGGACCTCCTACTAAATTTATTTTTAACTGCTCTATTGAAAATTCTCTACCACTAGTCAACATTATCTCTTAGTAGCTCAGCACAGTATTTCTTTATTAAAAGAAATAGGCACGAATATTTTTGACTGAAAAATTAATAGCTTTTGAATTCATACACAGCAGGTTTTCTTTTGCAAAGAAGTCCAATATCGCTGCACAGCACTTCTATAACCATTTATTTAGAGTCCAAGTCAAACCTTTGACAGCTAGAGCAGCGCTACAAGCCAATATAAAGAACTCCAAGATGTAAACCAACAATAGGCCGTCTGTGTGAGGTTTGCCATTGTCAAATACATAGATTGTTTGGATTAGTTTATGTAAATGTACTGTTGTATTACCCTTTGGGGAAAAAAAAGATCACATTTGTGTATGAAAAGTGGTTCCCTTCACAGGCAGCATTATAAATTCCTTATCCTTTAACTTACATGTAAGAAGTAAAAATTGGTGCCTGACAAGCAGGTATTGTGTGACACTCTGTTGTCGGAGTGAACCTACCTTCTTTTCATTTATTGGAAAATAGAAAATTTTATTATAGATACCATCTTATAAATCAGGAATTATTAAAATATGTATAGGTGAGGCATTGGGAAATTAATTATAAAAGGTGGACGCATAATGTTTTGCATAAATTTACACTTCCTTGCCAAAAAGAAAAAAAGAGGTACACACATACAGCAAACTCTTGGTGCTTTTCAACTTGAGGTACCCGGAGTTATCTGGTGACTGATTCTAATATGAAAAATATTTCCTATAGCCTATAATTAATTTATTCCACCCTAAATAATAGAGCACATGGTGTACGTTCAAATGAGTATCCTTTTAGAATCTTTGATTTGAAACAAGCAGTCACCGGGATTCAAATCTAACCATAGATGGGGACTTTCATGTTACAACCTTGCCAGTAAGTTTACGAAGTTTTTTCTTATTTCCATTTCTGTGTAAAAGAAACCTCATGTTTATTTTAAAATTCTTAGTCACTAAGTGATAGAATGCTTTGCTGTAAATGTTGCTTTTCACTAAATGCCATTTGGGTGGTAAGTGTCATTTGTTATATTCAATCATACAACCAGTCCCCATTTCATTGCATCAGAGAAACTGCTAAAATGTTCTTGGATTATTCTTACATCAGCTCATTAGACGCATTTTTTGGATCCTGTTGTGGAACTCATCTTCAGATTTGGATAGTTAGAGGATATGCTCATCTCAGGAAGGTGCCCAAGTGTTTAGATGTGAATCTGAGCTCGACCCACACTGGGAAGAAAGTGTATGGGTAAACTGCAACAGGAGCCCACAGCCTTCCTATCTCTCGGACTCCTTCAAAGACATCTTGTCCTGCTTGCCCTCACGTCTTTCGTCTTTTCAGCCTAAAAACAAACAAACAAATGAAAAAAACCCTTTCCTTTCAGAATTATACCCAAGACTTAAAGTGTAGATTGTTTTTGGGAAGGGAATTCCTGCATTTAATATCAAACTGTTCCATCAACAAATATGTATTGAGCATGCTAAACACTGAATGTAGGATAGTCAAATAAGAGAGACCTGTCCCTGCCATTGAGGTGTTTGGAGTCTTGTGGAACAAACTAACAAATAACTACACACACACACACACACACACACACACACACACACACTACACACACACTACACACACACTGCGTGAAAGCATGAGTCATGCTACCTGTAAGTAGGACAACTGACCCAGAACAGTGAGGTCGAGGAAAACTTCTGGGAGAAGTGATGTCTGAATGGAAACCTAAAAGATGAGTAGAAAGAAATGGTAAGAAGTCAGCTTTGTGGATTTTTCCTTGGGTTTAGAGTAGGTGCAAATATCTGTGCATCTCTGGGGAAGGGAGCTTTGAGAGGAAGGTGGGTAATGAGGATCAGTTTGGAGAAAGGAAAGGAATAGCCCACATCAGCTAAAATAAGCTTTTCATACTTCAGATTTTATTAAGGCTTAGATCCTGCATGAAAAAGGATATGTAAAAGTTCACCAGAGCAGCTGTAAGTTCTAGGAATCAGGTACGTAGAGCGGAAAAGCGGTTGTTGACCCATGGTTAGAATGGCCAAGTTTGTTGTATTTCAGGTTTTAAAAGATTCTTCTCCTTTCCATGGAAAGACAAGCAAAAGCAAAAAATAAGACTGCTTTAATGAAAATGATTGGTATGCTTTTGTTCCAAACTCAGTAACGTTCTCAGATCAAACACCTAAATTTACTGCTCGGAGGTTACCGTCTCCATGCTTACTCCATGGAGAATTTGCCGCCGAGATAGTTGCTTGGGGTGGGGAGGGGGGCAAAACTCAAAGGACAAAACAACAGCAAAAAGGAACATGACTGTGTTATAACTTTATTAAGTTGTTAAGGATTTCTTAAAAAGACTTCTCATTATGTCAGGAAAACACTGTAAATCGTATTTTATAACACTGAGTACATGAGAGGTACGCTGTGCTTTAGGGTATTCCTACACATCAGAGAACAACTCCTGATCCTGGAGCAACCACATTCTTACAGATTCGGTGGGCAGGTAATTACAGTGTAGGTAGTATATCCTTCTTTACGAAAATCTTATAAAACATGTACAGGAACTTGGATATTTGGAATGCAATGCTGTATTAGATTTTCCTCTTTTACACATTTTCTTTTACTCTAACCATAGCAATTAGGGCTGTTTTGAAATAGTTTTTAGCTGCTATAAAAACAAAGCTCCCCTCCTCTGAAAAATAAAAAAGGTCTTTTAACTCTTCAAGGATCATTTGGGCTGCTGGGGTCTTGCTGTAAGGTTGGAGAAGTAATATTAGGCAGTCAGAAAAAGGGGGCTTCTCAAGCACAGCATATTAATAGAAAAGCTGTTTTATGTACTGTTTTTCATTAAGTGCCCCCTCCTCGGCTCAAGTTTTTTTTTGTTTTGTTTTGTTTTGAGTGTCATTGCCAGTAACACCACCTTCTGAGTGGGTGCCCTCTGCCAGCACCCGTGTCCAACACAGGGCCAGGCTGAGACAGTCAAGGAAAGCACAGGCTT